CGTTCGCCCCGTGCGCGAGGGGTAAGGCAGGAACGATGTGGACGCTGGCCCCATGACCACCTACCTGCAAAACCTCGAGAACCAGCAGAAAAAAAAATACGTTGATACAGTTTGGCAACAGCTTCAAGACATACAGTAACTAAGCACCGTTTGCTATCAGCAGTAAGACACCCCACGGTGTGGTGATACAGACTGTTCAGTAGGCACACACAGCAAACCCACTCACTCTGCAGCGACTGCCCTGGGGGTAGGTTTGTACGAGAGGATCCCCTCACCCTACACAAATTTCCCTGCCTTGCCAGCGAAACGGATGCGCTTCTTCCTCCGCAGCTAAGGCGAGCGTTAAAGCTTTTGTCTCTTCGAGGAAACATCCAGAACATCACCCAGGTTCGGAGAGGCTCGAAGAGGAGAGAATGCTCTGAGCCTGTGGTCTGGATCCAATTTTTTGCAGATAACTGCGTTCGCTCTTTTCTTCCCCACCCAGCAGTAGGCTGAACCCTCAGTCCCAGCAATACCAGCTTTTGGGTCCTTCAGGCTGCATCTGTCCCAGTACACTCCAGCAGGTCCAGGGCCATCCCCAGCACTGGAACATGAACCAGTCCTGGGAGTAAAGTTTTACAACACTCCCTAGCATGAATTGAGCACCTTCTTTATGCTCTCCCCCTAAACATTCCTGCATGTGTTTAGCAGTTCGGTTGTGCCATCTCTACGGGCACCTTGGAGGCAACGTCCCCTTGTTTTGGAGACAAAGACAATTTACCAGCATAAACGTGGGCTGCTCCATACCAGTTAGCTTCAAGGCTGGGAACATTGCCGGGCTCCTTTAGCTCACTAGTATAGAGAGTGCCTTAATATACCTGGGTCGTTACGTCGTGGCCTGCACCCACCTCTAGTTTGCTCACACCACTCAGCTTTTCGGACTCCCCTTCCAGACACTCATTCCAGCTGGACACTAACAGCCCTGGCTGCACCCACAGGCTGGCCAGACTTCCCCAGTACACTCACACTCGCACACACGCACAAAGATTTGCCGAGCACACCTCAGCCCTGACCTTCTTCAGTCCCAGCTCTTCCATCCCCGAGTCCTCCCCGAGCACAGGTCACCAGGTTGGCCAAGGTGGGCTAGCAGTCGGGCGCCTGATGCCCCGAGGAGCCACGTGGCTCGGAGCAAGGTGCAAAACCACCTGGGAAGCATCGCTGGTGCCCTGGGCGCTTGGGGCCGTGGGGGAGAAGGTCTGCCCCGCTGTGCCGCCTAAGCCCCTGGGGATTTGCAATCCACTCACTGTTGTAGCTGCTGCCGCTGCTAGTCTCTGCCGGTGCCGTGCCTTGTTGAATCGGCCCTTCCGAGGCGGCCCTCCCTGACAGTGAATGGGAGGAGAAAAAAAAAGAGGAGGGAAAGGGAGGGGAGGGGAAAGGAGGAGACATGGGAGGACGAAAGATGGTCAGAAAAGGGAGAGGGAAGAATCTTTAACTGAACGTTGACCGGCTGTCGCATCCTAAGAGCTCATCGGTCTGGAGGCACAGGGAGAGCGGTCCCCGTAGCCTCGCTGCACCTGCGTCTGAAGCTCAGTGCCTCCAGCCGTCCTGCAACGCCAGGGTCACACGTCGGAAGATAGGATCACCACACCCTGTTATGTCTTACTGCTTACAAGTAACAGGGGTCTTAGTCTCTTTGTCAAATCCATTTGGAAACCTCTGTTTAGAGCCCTGCCTTCTCTCGGTCAATGCATTTCTCTCCTGGCATCCGCTCTGCAGCCTACCCCCGCCACAACCTGCACATGGACACAGCCAGCCACGCTCGGCAGAGGCTGACGGCTGTCCCCGTCACGCTGCGGTCCCACAGGCAGCGTAGGGACCAACCAACCCCAAGGGCAGATCCCCATCCCAGTGTGGTGTGTCACATAACTGCTCATCATCCACCTGCAACCTCAAAAAGACTCGATATGGGAAAAGGGACTCTTTAGCCCGACTTATGCCAAGTGCATGCAACAGCGTGTTCCTCACACCCTCCTGGGTACAACGGAAAGCCATGTCAGTGTACAGCAGGTGAACCTCTCACATATCACAGGAGTAGAACTGCACAGCAAAGCGACCTACCGTCCAAAGGAGATTTCTCTTCCGCGTTCTTGTCTTCCTCTGCCAGCATGACCTCCTCTGTAAAAGGAAAAACAGCAAGGTTCAACCTCGGATTTATCACATCCTGGCTCTAAAAACAGCTGAGCTGGACGCAGCAGGCATCTGTCCCAGCTGCCACCAACCTTACCCACTACATCACCCAGTTATACCAAGTCTGTGGAGGAAGGTATGGCTCAGAGCACCACATTTCTTACACTGTGCCCCTCTTGCACGGGGTGGAGGGGAGGCCAGACAAGCCACTGGACGACTGTAGCACTTCCTCCATGATTTCGCTCTTCCCAATGAACCACCCACTCCAGTCTCTTTACCCAGCTGTCTGGAGAGCAAGAACCTTCCTGCAGACCCAAGCAAGACCACAGGGCTCCACAAGCCAGAGGATGGTCCCTCATGCCCACTGTTTGAGGAGTGAAAGATGCTCTACACCCATTGCTGCTCTTTTGTCTCAATCAGTAAGACCAGGACTCCAGACCAGGAGAAACGAATCTCTGTCTCATGGCACAGGGTAAGACAAGCAGGGCTGGCTGCTGCGTGTCAGTGGTGTTACATGGCAGGGGCCAGAACGTCACCAAATAGCCATCAGATCAAATTTTGTCCAAACAAAATCCACAGCAAAGTAGCCACGGGGGCGTTCTGGCAAGCACCGCTGAGGTGGTGCAATACGTGCAAGGCAGCCACCACTGGTTTTCCATCGCTGCATAACTCCTCTCCAAATTACAAGTTTATATTTTCCTACAGTAGAAGAATTCAGAAAACACTGAATAAACTCAACCCCCAAAAACTGACTCATTTTTACATGAAAGACAATCAAATTTCCTGAGATTTCACAACGCAAATGTCATCACCCAAGCCAATTTGCAGTACACGCCACGCTGCACCAACACTTGAAACCATGCAGTTGATGCAGCCTGAACCACAGCTTTGAGCTTGCTGTTGTAAAATTATGTAAGGGTTTTCTTCTAAAGGACAATCCATAGCAAAAAAATTACTGAGTTAGCAGCTGGTAAACTGCACACTTCCTTGTGTTATTATAAATGACAAATTCTTTCACATGTTTGGCATAGATGTAATTTGGGATCTTACTAAATCATCTGACACTGCACTCCCACAAAATTTTGCTTTAAAGTCCATTTAAGACAGCCTAGATGGAAGGATAACTGAAAAAAAAAAAAAAAATTTACAAACAAATCACAGGCCAAGGATCAAACCGTGGCGCTGAAAGTCATCTGGAAGAATACTAGAGGGATCAGCACTACCACACAAGCCTTATATAATCTCTTTATTAATCATCTGGGAGCGAGAGTGAATGATACATTAATAAGACAACAAACTGAGAAGGCTGAAAAATAATACTCAGGACCGAGGAAGACTTGAAATTCAAGCAGAGGAGAAGAGAATAAGAAAATGCAAAGTAGTGCACCACAGACATTGAAGAGGGTAAGGAATGCAATGGTGTTCAGAGAGGGTTAAGAAATGTCTGGTGAGCTAACAACTTTAAAATGCATGAAACCCTTCCAAAATCCCACAAGCCAGTACAATCCACGTGGTCTCCAAGGCTCCTTAAAACAGGTCAGAAAACTGAAATTTGCTTTTCTGACAGTTCAAGAGAGATCTCTTTCATACAGGCACCAAAAGGTTCTTCCAAAGTCTTGTCTTGGGAAAAGCTGTAATGGTGTTTTGGGGTTAAAAACACAGAAAGAGTTAAACAACAATTAATACTGGACATGACTGGTCTAAAACATGTCAAAGGGATGGTTTAGATGTGGAGACCTCTTCCCAAAGGCAGCTGGACAAAGACTCTGCAAATGTGAAACACAAAGCAAACCTGTGCTGGCAGGAGCATGCGCTCAAGTAGATTTTTTTCAAAGCCTACGTTGCTCATGAAGCGTGATTTTTAAAGCTTTGCATCACATCTGGAGGTGATATACCCACATCGCTGCGCAGGACTATGCAGAAAAACGAATCAAGCTCTTCGTACCAGCAGAGTCAACAGTGTCATGCAGCTGTGCCTGCACTCGTTTGGACCCGAGGATTAGTTCAGCCATCGTTACTTTGGGTTCTTCATTTTGTGCTCCTCTGCACAAGGTAGACGTGGTGTTTTTGTGTGCTACATACCAGCAAATCGCAGTGAAAATTCAGAACCGTTTGGAGTGGAGCGTATGTTTAGGTCTTGGGACAAAGAGCAAGCACAGGAAAGTGAGGGCATCCCAGAGGAGCTCTTCTGCCACTCCCAGGAAGAGAAGGTGACTTTTAGATGGCATTTAGTAATTAAATGGACTAATACAAGCTACTGCAGGGAGCAGACACACCGCCGTGCAGGTGGTGAGCAACAAAAGTAATGAGCTAGGGATGGTCAGGAGACAGGCAGCTGTTCTTCAGGGGCTACACCCCGATGACAGCAATGCCAAGAGAGATGTTTCTGCAGAAGAAAGGTCTCAGCCAGACCCAGCACACTTACTGGTCAATGTTCTGAGGGTTGCTGGTTTCAGTCACGTCTTGTTTAAAAAAAGTCACAACACTTCAGGAAAGAAAGAGCCTATTTGCTCAGCTGGAAGCCCAATTCTGCACTTGATTCGCATCAGTGCAGGAAGAAGGTTCCTTTCAAAGATCTTTGACTCTAAGAAGGAAAAAAAAAATTATTCTTTTCCCTGGTTTCTGAGCGGCCTCTTGTTTTGTGCGTTCCTGTAATAATTTGTCATCTGTCTCCACTGTCCTTTGGGCAGCAGAGAAGGAACAATCCCAAGTTCCCAGATCATCTCTGGGGACTATGAACTGTATGATACATCATCACTGTGATTTGCAATGGTGCACTGATGTCATCTGATGTTCCGGCGTCACCTGTGTCCCCATGGCCAGACTGATGAGAGGCTTGGCCATACGGAGGTTTCAGAAACCAGACTGACAGAAACCAGAAATGCCAGTGGGACCTCAGAATTTGTCAGGTGTGACCATTTGATATCAACATCTCTTCACCTACAAAGCGCACGCTCTTTCAAGACAACTTTGCAAACCAGCTGAGCCTTTGCCTCAAATTCAGGGCCTTTACTTGGTACCCAAACATACCTCCATCCATAGACACACCTCACCAGGGCTCAGTTTTACTGTTCCCTTAAAATAAACAAACTCCAGGTTTCACCTATGTAATTCTCTCAAGCCTGACTCCCCTCCATCATTGCTCCCCAGTTTTGTCCCTTGATAGTTACTTCTGTCTGCCTTGTACCCTTCTGGGAAACCAAAAGACCACATCTACCCTAGTGAGGATTTACATAGTCTTTATAGCCTGCTAAAAAGACAGCTCAGCAGTCTTGTCATCATTGCTATGATTTTTTTTTTTTTTTAAACCATACAGCATCCCAAGCAGAGGATCAGAAGAAGTTGCATTGCCTTTAGCCATCTCTGTAACACAGAGAGTGGAAGAAGATAATTAGGATGCCTGAAAACACCCCAAACAACAATGCTTCTACATTAGAAGAAAGATTCAACAAAGAGACAGTGTCAAATCAGCAACTTCTGGCCTCCAAACAAAGGCAGAGGGGCTTCACTAGGATATCCGAGTGAGAGGTGTCTCAGCAGCAAGATTAATTGTTTGTCATTAAGTACTGACACCACACAGCATGTCACAGGACTGGAAATAAAGGCAAACCTTATACTGAAGAACTGGCAAGCTGAGCAATACAGGCAAAGCTGCAGAGAAACATGGTGCCCTTCTCTTTCTCTTCGCCATGGGGAGATAGGGCATTGTGGGCTCAAAAGAAGAGCGGGTTACAGGAAATAACTCACGTTTTAACAGGTAAAAGAAGTTAGAAAAAAAGGAAGAACAACTGAATTTTACTGTTGAAGCTTCAGACTTGTTAAACAGAGAAAGTGAATAAAAATGCATCCCTTAGAAGAAGCTGTCACACTCTCACGGGGAACTCTAATTTTTCTTTCTGGCAATTATCCTCCCTTGCCATCTCACACACATTGCTGCCCTTTTTCATTGATGTAGGTGTCTTCCCAGCTGTATCAAGGGACTTGTTGCTCTGTTTCTTCTACAGAAAGCTGAACCCTGAGGTTCATAAAGCTTTGTCATGTCAAGGAATGGCATTCAAGTTACTGTGGGCTGGAAGAGAGAGGTTAAACACATTCCCAAAAGGTTTATTTTTACTTACTCTAGGAGAAAAGAAACACTCAGAATCAGTGCTATGTGAAAGAGATGGACTTGGAAAGAATCAAAACGCACAAGACATGCAACTTGATTAGCTCTGAACTGGAAGACTTTCATTCTCCAAGCAAAGCATTTTCAAAACGCTGCGTGTCCTTGTAAGATAAGAGAAATATCTTCGAAAGAGTATTTGTGGGCTTATGAGCACTTTACTCTGCATACAGAGCTTCCAGTTCTCTGCTCACCGCTGGAAATGCAGCACGACAGCCTAATGGTTGTCACAGTTTTGAGGAGTTTAATGGAGAAAGCAGGGGTGGCAAAATCATTTGCATGGATTACATGGCTTGGCTTCGCCACTTTTTAATTCCTCTGGAAGGCACAATTTCAAATTGATTTGCTACTGCCTTTGCACAGAGCCCAGCGAAAACACGAAACGAAGAGCAGAGCCTGTCCCAGTACGCAGCGGGTGGAACACGACAGGGTCTGCTCGTCACCAACAAGACTTTATTTGATATTGGTTGAACTGAAGAAGCAGAGTTTGGAGAAAAGAACTGCCGTCTCATCCCTAGAGGAGAAATGCAGTGCGAAGTGTTGCTTTTTACACCTATATCAGCTGGCCTCTAGTAGCAAGAAGAGTTGGTCTCTTTAAAGAGTTTACTGAAAAAGATAGTTGACTTTGTTCTTCAAGATTAAATTTAAGATTACAGGTCTGTTTCTGGCCAATCTACACAGTTCACTTCTAAACGATACACAGGGTCAATGTTTATGAGATCGACGTGTCAATTACCATACAAATTTTTGGCCTAAATTCTGAGAGATGCAAGAAACGAGAAGATTTGATCATTGCTGCTGGCCTACAACTCGCACTAGTTTTATAGAACTGAAAATCTTACAGATTAGAAGACACTTACAAATTTGTAAGTCACTTAAGGGGGTGCAATGTTTCTTCTTCACATCCTCAAAAGTGCTCTACTGAGTTAAAGTCTTCCTTGCTTAGTCTTGGCCTCATGATATGGGAGTTTTACATGAAATCACCCGTTACCTCATCTAAAAATATTTAAACCCTCCTGACTACCCCATGTGTCCCTTATTCAACATGCACCTGAAAAATAAGTAAAGATAGAAACCTCATACCTGGCCTCTGTACAATTCTAAGTGAAGAAAGTTAATTCAAACTCTAAGGAAATTGGTCAGACCACGGGCTGATTTTTTTTCGTTCAAGTTATGCACACCTAAATTCAGCACTTCAGCACACTATCCGTGTTATAATTTTATCTTTCATTTCCCAGCCCTTGGTTAAGAAGGTATTTGTTAAGCACTTCATCAGTTAAGGCTTCCTGTATTAAGTATAACTCGCACAAGTATTTGCACATTAAGGTTGTCACTGTTTAAAACACCTTGGTATCGATCCCTCAAGCAGATATGCTGCTGATTATATTAAATAATCCACATTTTAAACAGCCTGAGCTATGTTTGCTTCAGTTTCAACCATAGCTGCTCTTCTGGTAATTTATCAGTAGTGACCTGGCACCAAAATCTTTCAGCTGTGCCAAGGTGCCTCACTGAAAACTTCACAAGCACCTTTTATTAGTGTTTTCTTCCTTTTTATACTCATTCTACCACTGGAAAAATTTTAGAAGTACCATCAGATTAAAAGAAAAATGTAAAAGTCAGTTACTCAAGAGCCAGGCTATTAAAGACGCTTTGTTCTTACAACACAGATGTAGGACAACTCATTAGACCAGATCTGGAACATGCTTGAGTTATACATTGTTTAAGAGGTAGAAAACAAAGACCTATCATTTTCTTCTGAAGGACTAACAGTCTACAGTTTCAGTATAAGAAAGGGTTGATAGTAAACAACCCCAAAATTTTATCTGAACCACCTTTTTAATGCAGTATGTACAGCGAGAGGTTAACATCATTCAGATCATGAATAGAGAAGGCCGCGAGAAACATTAAAGACACTCAAGAGTGGTCAATAAATGATGAGCACAATGTTAAATTAAAATCACTGGTGACAAATGGGAGGTAGTGTACAGACGAAAGAGTGATTTTAGTCACTCAAATTTTTTCCTTGATCCTAAACCAGTTACAGCCCTCGAGGTAAAAGACTTGAGAGCTACGGGGAACAAGGAAACCTCCTTTGCAGCTCCAGCAACTACTCAGAATGTGAAAAACATTACAGAGCAAACACAAGCGGATGAAGTATTAAGATGCCACTTTATGAAACACTGGAATGTTGCTTTCCACTCTTCCTACCTTGCATCAAAAATAAATGAGAAAAAAAACAAACACACAAAATACTCAGAGAGGATACTATGAATATAAGAAGCCTGGAGAGCCTTCCATGGGAAGAGAGGGGATTGGGCAGATTGGTTCTGTGTGCTTTAAAGCAGAAAAAATAAGATGAAACAAGGCAGAGAGAGATCAGAGAAAGAAAAGTAATAAAAATAAGTAGGAGTTGAACTCCTGAGATCTTCCTCTCACTGCAAAAAGGCAAAATCAAGGATGGGACATACTGTTTGGTGAGTTGGTTTGTTTTTTAAAATCAAACCATCTGTTAACACATGGAACTCCTTGCTACAAGATTCAATGAGGTCAGGGATGCTAGAAGGATTTGAAAACAATTAAATATTTGCATGAATAACAACAAAATCCTCTAGAGCAGAATACCAAGAGCTTTTGCTCTTTCTTTTATGCAAACAGCTTGTTACATCTCACTGCCTGGGGCTGGTGCAAGAGATTTCTGTCCTGGACAAGGAAGACTGATTATCTAGTTTGGAAATTCATGATCATTTCATCACTGAAATCCTGGCCTCTAAAACAGAAATGGGAAATCCCCATCGGCAGCACAGTCCCAAATTTCAGCGCCTGAATTCTAAAGACTTGATTCTCTGTTTTGGTTCACCCTTTATGCTACCTTTTGTGTTCAGAGATTTACTAATGCTGCAAAGTTGATTTTAATTATTGTCATTATTCAGCTGAAAAAGCTAGGAAGCTTTTTTATATTCCTATTGTATTTTTGACAATGCCTTTACAGAATGTTTTTATTATTCCCTGATTCAGCTATTTTGCATACACTTCCCTGTTCTAGAAAATCTCCTGGATCTTGTGTTATTAGACCAAATAAAAAGAAGGGCATTTTACAGCACTTTCACTCTATGCTGCTGTGGCATTTATTCAGCACTGGCAACACAGAAATAGAATAGCCAGCCATTCCCCCAGGGATGCAAAGTTGGAGCAGAGATTGGCTGTGTGTTTCATAATTTCTCCACCTCAACTTTCAAGACAAGTTCAGCTAATGACCTCTGCATAGCTCTTCTTGGCAGAACAGTCACTAAAATGAAATGAAGCAACCCACACCCCTGCAAAGGAATTCTCATCTTTATTTTACTGATGAGGAGACCAGGATTTAGAGATTGAAAAATCACGAGAGCCTTAAAAGCAAAACGACAATAGAGCCAAGGGGGAACCAGGGTGCAGTCTGCTCCAGGCACTGGATAAACCATTAATTAATTTGAATTTGAGGTATCAGAAAAGCTGTAAACAAACAGGAAGACAAATTATAAATGGAAAGGAAAGCAAGGGATTTTTTTTTTTCAATCCTACAGGACCGCAGAATGAAGGGTGGTTACCTAATTGAGGACAGTTGCTGTTGAACAGTCACAGTGAATAAAAGTCCATCAATACAACTGGCACTCAATTGTCGCTCTGCACAGGAACACGGGAAATAATGGGCTCAAGCCATATAAACTGCTGCTACTTCTTCCTATTTTACGTTTCAATGTTTCAGTCTTTTTCCCCTCTGGACAGGTTGTCAAAACTCATGCCCTCCAGAGAGGTACCGCAGCCAGCCCCCAGCCCTGCCAGGGGCCCAGCAGCAGGGCAGAGCCCCACTCCCCCGGGCACACGGGCTGGCAGAGCGCTGCCGAGGAGGGAGCAGAAGCAAAGCAGCAGAAGCCATGTGAAAATGCCCTTCTAAATCCCAGCACCTGGGTTGTGCACATAAAACAGAAGCCCTAAATCCAAAACAAAGAGCCAGCTATACACAGAATAGCATCGGGATGCTCGGGCCCCTGCAGCGCTGCCGTGAGTTGTCGTGACCACACAATCACTTGCTCGCACAAGCACATTTTAGTACATTAGACCTCTAGCATCAGTATGGATTTCAAAAGAAGGACTGATGACAGGGCTTGTAGCGTGGTGCCAGCCCACGGCTTAGGAGCACCGCTGAGTGCCAGTTCTGCCACCGGTCCATCGGCTGACATCACTATATAACGTCAGACCTCAATTTCCCCAATTTTAAGTGTAAGCATGAAGCTGACCTGCCTAGAAAGGCACCTGAAAATCTATTTCAGAAACCACCACTTCTTTTTCTCTCCATCGTTGTTTTAAAAGGCATTTTCACATTACTCAAATGTTTCAGGTTCTCAGAAGAGCAAGCGAGGAAGCAAGTTAGCCCCAGAAGTTCTCTTGATGCTACATGAATGAACTGCACTGTGGTTATGTCAATATATATATCAGCTACTCTACAACGCAGAAAGGTTATCGGTAATCTTTACTGTCTGATAAAAAAGAAAGGAAAAGCATGCTATTTTTTGTTAAATTAGTGCATTTGGCTCCTTGTTAAAGTTGCTCACAGCTTGCAATAAAGTGCAATGTTCAGTTATAATCCTTATAAAGCAATGCTAATATGTGCCAGGGTGAGTTTCATGAAAGTGATCTCTGTAGCTCATAAAAATGACACTCCAGTGTATTTTACCATCATAGCAAGAGAGGCTTATAAAACAGCTGTGGTGGAGAGTAAATAAAATATAAATGACTCATACAAGGGAACAGTTTCGCCACTGTGGAGACTTGGGGCACTGTATCACTTTTTATATTATGCTGTATTAAGACAATTGCTTTGATCTCAGCAATAAAGAAAGTTGGCCCAGCTCCTTCAGTTTTGCTTAACCAGACTGAGATCTTTTGCAATAACTTCAGTGAGACTGCTCAGAAACAAGCCCAACAAAAACAACTAGTCCTGGCTGGGCACCCTCTAGTCTTGGGTTCCCTCGATGGCCAACAGCACCAAGCACTTGTTTTGGGGCCCTTGTTCTCTGTCATCACCAGACTCTACTTGCCACAAAACATATTGAGCCAAGATCAGGAGATCTCCTGCCTTACCTGCTTTGAAGATCCACTCCAAGTATCCATTTAGTTCCCGTTCAATTTGCTGCTGCCTACGGAGCTTCAGGAAAGCTCGACGATTTTCTACCCTTTCTCGTTCTTTGGCAAATTCACTATGGAGACAGAAGAATGAGAAAGAACACATCACAGGTGGTCAGGGAAAACACACAGCCCCTCTTTTGCCTTTCAGATTATATTCATGAAACCTGTGAAGTCAATGACAGTAGTAGTGAGTAGAAACCATAGCATGCTACACGTTGTCCAACAAACTACTGCTTTGATTGTAGCTCAGTTGTTTCTCAGCCTCTCTCATCCTGAAAGGTGACTGCCAACGGCCACGTGCACACACTTTTGTTCTGAGGCCACACCGTATCCATTACGATGACACCCTGATGCACAACCACATGCACCTGTCCAGTCATGCAATATAAATTATTGTCCCCAACACTAAAAACTGTTCTGCATCCCTTTGCACTATTCAACTCACAGCAGAATTTTCTCTAGAAGCACAACATTATGTCACAAACACACCAGCAGTCTCTGTCTTGGAAGAGATCTACTCTTCCCTGTTAGCCTTTCTCTGAGTGTTCCCAGGCTTAAGCAGACTTTGACAAACACAAGCCAAAGGAGAGCTACAAGCGAGGATGGGTGTTCTAGGGTCAAGGTGAAACAGCCCACATGCTCTGGGTTGAGGATAACAACGATCCTGCCATTTGCTAAAATCACATGGAAAGCAAGTATCTTGACATCAAGTCATTAGAACAGGACTGTGCAGGGTAGTCAGAAAGTAAGGTTCATCCAACCATTGCAAAATCTTGTCCAAGTACATCCTACCGCCTAGTTTGAAACAATGCTGAGACAATAGTGCAGCCACCACCTCCAAGACACCCACACCCCAAGCTAACTTGTATCACCACTGGGAAGCTTCTGATGACCCACCTGAAGATGCACGTGCCCACCTACCATTTACAGAGTTCTGAACCATCCTCCGCAACCCCACGCTTTGAGTGACTCCCACAATAGCTTGGTCTATATGGTTAAATGTGGGATCGGGCTTTTGTCCATCGTGTATATCAGTGGCTCACTCGTTTGACATCTTAACTTTCCTGTGTCCTTCAAATCTTTAGTTAACTGTGATTTGTTGCAAACTTGTAGTTAACCATTATTCTTTACTAAAATCCCACCTAATCACCTCTTCATTACCCACACACGCTCCTCAGAAGCCAGCAAGGAGCAGAAGATGGGAAAAAGGTGAAAGAATAGGGAAGAAGGAGCTGCAAGTGCCAGAGGCAGCTTTGTACTCACAGTCTACACTTCACCCTTCAAAGCCAACGCTTTTGCTTCATTTGGCACGACTGTCTGACCCGCAGAGAAGGGACTGCAGGGAGGACTTGGCTCAGCACTGCGACACACGCCAGTACCAGCCACTGATGAGAGAGCTGCCATCAGCTGAGCCCTTATCTTGATTTTGGCAGCGCGTCCCAGTCTCCTGACTCCCCTCTCTCCTGTCCCCCACCTGACAGCACAGCCTGTGACCCCATCCTTGAAACGGCGGAAGCCAAAACATCGCTCTGAACCGACAGCTCCTCCTTGGCATTCAGCACGTGTCTGCCAGGGGACTCGGGATCCTGCGCGTGTCAGCTGAATCGCCCGTTTTCTCCCTCTTCCTTTTTAATGTTCTCATTTCTGGTTCAGCGCCTGCTGGTCGGGGCCACGGACCTCCTCTCAGTTCTGATGTCTCTCTGGAGGGGGAGGAATGAGATCAGACAGCCCGAGGTGACAACACGCATTTATAAACTGCCGGACGTGGAGGGGCCACGATTCCTGCGTTACAGGCTCACGTCACCGCAAATTTCCCAGAGCTGAGCTGTGCCAGATGGGAGCAGGAGGCAACACCCGGTGGGGAGTTTCATGAAGGACCACAGTGGGCAGAAAGGACAGTAGATGAGCCGTGGCACTGCCCCCTCGCTCCTCAGGAGCAGGCAAGGGAGAACTTTCCTTGTAAAGCCTTTCATCCCCTGCCAGCTCCTATCTGGCCTCAGGAAAGTAAAAGCTACCTAGGACTGGGTTCCTTTTAATCTCAACTTTAAACATGTAAGAAAATGAGGGAAAATCTTTGCTAAGTTGCAAACTTTCCATAGTTTCTGTACAGCCATGCACACTTTTTGCAAGACACCAGTGAGGAACGTTGCTGAGGTTAAAGCCACCTGCGTCCTCCTGTTCTCTGGAGCCGGCAGATTTGGCATCGCTGTAAAAGATGGGAAGGTAACTTTCAGGAGAAGATAGTACCTGGGGTCTCTGCTCATTGAATGTCTTCGGAGTGCTACAGAGCTGCAGCAAAATAGTCCAGGATGAAGACTGGAGAGTCTCAATGTACGGTCTTCCTGGTGAAGGAACGCATCACTTGCTCTTTCTCCGACCTCCAGGAGATAGGAGAGGTTTGATGAGCTGGAACTTGTCAAAAGACTGTGTTTTTCTTTAAGAAATGTACTAACAAAAGCACGTGTGTGTGTCTCTTCCACTATGTTCATCACCATTCAGGAACTGAAATAGTCCCCATTTGCAGCAACTGGAAAACTCCCAGAATTTCTGTTTGAGAGCTTTTCAACAAAATTTCAGAACACGTTCAAAGAAAAGGGGAAAATTTCTATCAAAACACCGTATTTCATCTAAAAATACTTCAGCTGAAGTTTTCCTGCCAGTTCTAAATGAGAACACATTTAGAACCTTCCCATGGGAAGGTTTGGTAGCAGTAAATAAGTTTCCTCTTTTATTTAACACAATTGCTATTTATGCCACTGACTTGTAAAAAATCTCCCAAATCACCAAAAAGGAAACCTGAGCAGGAAATATGCTATCTCTTGCCCAGCTTTACCTCCAGGACTTTCTTCACTGCTGGTCCTCCACAGATTGACCAGTTCTGGAACAAGGAATATTGAAAGATGTTCACCCGTTCTCATCCTTTGCTCTCATTGACCACCACGTGCCCCAAAAGCTCCCCAAAATATTTGTATTTCAGCACTGCCTGGGGGAGGCATTAGGAGGAGGAAAGCTGGAAGATCCATACTCCTACACACAGCACAGCAACCGCAGATACTGCTTTGGAGGAAGTCGAGCTCTGCCTGGGTAGATGACTATAATGTGTTTTAGTTACAACATGACAGTTGTGAATAACTGATCCTATAGAGACAGCAGGAACAAACAGAAATCAAAGGAAGGACATTCATCATGGAAACCATACGCCATACTAGTCAAGCTCACTGTGTCACATTTTTCTTCTCAAGAGTGGTCGGTGCTTAAAGTCACCAGGAAAATAGACGATTGTTGCTTATCACCTTGGTGGGTAGAAGAGTAAAATAAATCTCTGTGTAAATATGCACTGTAATAGCCACTTCAGGGAAATTCAAGAAGCCCCCACCCACAAAAGAGACAAGGTCAACTCATGAGTAACCACCAGGGTCAGTAAAAGACTATAAACCAATGAAATTCTTACAAGTACTATATTTGTGCTGGTCTTAAATTAAAAATACTGTCACAACAAGCAAAAATTAAAAAAAAAAAGCACCAAACTACAATCCTCATCCCCCGAGTCCAACTATCCTTCTGATATGAGAGCAGAGAGCTGAGATGGAGCATCAGGTACTGTGCCTCCTGGTCTTGGGTTTCCCGGCACACTCCCAGGGCCAGCGACAGCAGGGCTGCTGCAAGACTGATGGCACCACCACACCTCTGCAACTCAGGCTTCCCTCTCCAAAAGCAGACAGAAACGCTTCCCACTCACAGGGAAGAGGCAGAGATGATTTGGCATCACTGTCATTGTTACCACTAATAGTGCTCACAATAACAACATAGGTGATTAGCTCCTCATTCAGAACAATACCATGAGCTACACATGATCTCATGAAATCTCAGACCTTAAAATGGGAGAACACCCTTTGTCTACTGAATCTCAAGCACTGTTCAGCATGAGCAGAAAGATGCACAGATCTCGGAAGGACTCCACCAAAGACTCACAGAAAGCAGCTATAAAGGACTTCTAAGAGTTTTAAGCCTAAAACAACAAAAAAACACCCCACCAAACAGTTCTAGGATTGACTTCATCTCCAGTCCAAGTATGTCAAATGAATGAGCAAAGTTGAGCCTGGATGGCACGTGACATCTAGGGACGGAGTCCTGCCTGGAGAAACGCAGCCCTCAAGAATGGAGAGGAGTCAGATAATTCAAAGTGGGTGAGCTGCTGGGGAGAGAACCAGCCAGGACTGCAGATGTTTGACTGAGTTACTCACAAGCCACAATGAATTCTCCAGGTAGAGAAACAAAATTGGCCAAGACACAAGGCTTAGTTTATAAGCTTTGTTGCTTGAACATGGAGCAGTGCCCAAGAACAGACTTGATACTTGTCAGCAGACTGTTAACCAGCCCACATCACTCTGGAGCAGGGAGGGACAGGTTGGAGGTAGAAGATAGAAAACAGCAGCTCCTCTGGCTGCCTGACATGCAAGTTGGAGGAGCACCACTGTGGGAAACACGTGCTGGAAGAGTGGTACCAAATCACAAGTGCTTTGCTACTTGGGTGCTGCCTGGATGAGGAGTGGTGAAGTGTTAAAAATTCCTCTCAGTTTCAGTCCACCCTTTTTACAATCAGCAAGGAAGGAACCTCAAAAGAAACTTGGTGCCAATTATCCACCTGTCTTTCAGTTAAGCCTTCAGCAAGAGCAACGCTGAGGTAGGAATTTCCATAAGAGGCTGCCAAGAGACCACAGAGACAAGAACACGCACTTGTAGCACCCCAGACATATGAACATGCTGGATGATAAGAGAGGTGAAATGAACACAATACTGTCTATACTTTTCAGTAAAATCAAGTCTCTTGAGCTCTTGGCAGGCTGGAACGACTTGCTCGGGGGCTGTACATCACTGAGACCCTCCAGAGTGGGAACTTCCCAGCACAGGGACCACACACACCTCCAAGCCTCCTGGTATCTTGAGAGCATCCACATGCAAGCAGAAGCACTTTATTACATTTTTGGGGTGGAAATCCATTTCTTACCATTTATTTTGGTTAATCAACTGTGAGAAGGAAATAGAGAAAGAGCCTCCAGTTAATTTTTCC